ATTTTATATAATACATACAAATAACAAAAATAAAATATTAATAAAATAAACTGATTCAAAAATCTTATTATAAATTATAGAAAATTTGTTTATAATTACTATCTTAAAAGATAAGTTTGTTGTTTCTAATAGAAGTCAACAGATATTCTACGACGAAAACAGGTTTCTGTTAGCGACAGATTTGAACTGATCGTAACAATCTCGTAGCATGGGGGATGGATTGTGGTGGTAAATCGTGGGAATGGGAAGGGGAAAGGGTGGTTGAGGGGGTTGGGGGGTTAGTAAGGATTATGTTAAGATCCTAGAGAACTCTGATCGATAGAGACGTCTTCTCGGATCCATCCAACAACAACAACCACCATTTGCCTTTGATAGCAAGAGCAACGAGATTACATCCTTCGATTATGCTAGCTGATTCTGCATCTAACGCAGCAATTCAATACGTTATGGTGGAATAGCATCCCGCTGTTTGATTTGTAATTCGCTTTCGACCTTAGCTACCATACCAACAAGCGAGTAACATTGTCGTTGTTCCTTCTCATTAAACCACCTATTAATTATCTCAGAATTACACCTGGTTATTGAACATTGTGTATTTAGATCTCTTCTATCACTGTTAAAGATATTTTATGGGGAATACCTAGAATAATGATTTTTCATTTCTATTCTAATTTTTTATTATTACTTTAGGAATATTATTTCATTTTTATTATATATTTTATTTTATAATAAGTGTATTTTTAATATATAATATTTATATTTAAAAAAAAAAATAGATTTATATAATATATAGAAAATATTGCTATTTGTGTAAAATTTAATCTATTTGATATATTATTTTTGTAATATATTGAAATAATATATAATAATATTTGAATGATTATATAATATAAATATATATATATATATTTTAATTCAATTACAATATTCATAAATATAATTAAGAAAATAAATTGCAATACTTAATTCGTAAATATTTAATCGTATTTGATTTCATTTAAAATCATTTATATGTCATATGATTATTATATGTATTTTGTCTTTATAAATAATTGCAATAATTTATAAAGACAAAAAAACATATAAATGATTTTAAATGAAATCAAATACGATTAAATATTTACCAATTAAGTATTGCAATTTATTTTCTTAATTATATTTATGAATATTATAATTGAATTGAAATAAAAAATAATTATAGTGATCTATACGTTCTTATAACGATTAGTATAATGCACTTTAGACAAAACTATTCGATAGAGACGTGTTATCGTGTCTGCCTCATGGACGACTGCCGGGATACGCGTAACTCGAGTACGTCAAAAGTGCATGTGCAACAAGGACGTTTAAATTTGGATTCAATGTTTACGGTCTATGTTAAGAGAGAGAGATAGAAAGATAGAGAAAGAGAGAGAGAGAGAGA